GGTATTTTTGCCTCATCAGACACCTATCTTTTCTGCATCCGCAGCTTAGTTTGATAGGGTTTCGCACGTCTTTGCAGCTCCACGAACAGCGTAATCTCTCCATGGTTTCGATATTAGACCTAGTATTCTTCCCTAAGTATAATTCAACGTCAATGTAAGCCTCAAAATAAGTTTTTGCTTTTATATAGATGGAAGAAATTAAATCGTTTTAAGAGTCCTTTTCCTACGTACTAGAGAATTTGTTTTGTTCTCAGTGTAAGTAAAACAAGTCCTTTTATCTCTCTATCATCAATATTAATAAATGTATTTTGTTCTTTGATGCACTTTTCTCCAAAATAAAGCCATGTATAAGTGGGGCATGAACAGCGTCCACCTTGCCTCCCACTTGTAATGAAACAAATCATTTTATAGTTTTAGTTGGAATTAAACCAACTCCATACCAATTTTTTTTCCTACCATCAGCTGCTGATCAGATGCATGGGAACATAAGATCATGACACCTATCCCTACTTGGACAAATCAATTCGATTAAACCAACATGGATAACTTATCCCATGTATAAAGTACTTGTCCTAAATTTCATAACCAATCATGCTTACATTTTGATTTAATGGATATCATGGTGGCATTCGATTAAACCAACAGTTGGCAGCCACTTCAATTATTCATAACCAACACTGGGATTTTCAAAGATTATGTTATAATAGACATGATTCATATAATAATTTAAAATGATCAGAAGACATAAATCCAATACGTTTCATGCAAGCGAAATCACGTGGCGGATGTTTTGATGGGGTTATATTGAAGACAACCTAAAAGCGAAATGTTATTCGATGTTTCCCATCTGCGATGACTGCCGTGAAACACATGAAGCAGAATTCTGATTAATGTTCTGTTTAAGAAAAAAATAAAAATAACAGAAACAAAATTTCAAATAAGGCCAATCTATTTATTTGAACATACAACTCTTATGCAGTATAGCGGCAAGTATTCCGGTCACGGCGTCGGTATATTCCTTGGTGATAAGCCTGCTCAAAGTCATGGAATCCATTGATGCAAAGTCGAGATGTAGGGTAGGGACAAAGCATCAAAAAGTTTGAGAGTCATCGTGGAAGAAGATGAAACTAATGGTTAGTCATTATCACTGATAATGATTTATTTGTGGAGAGTTTGAACATCATAAAGAAAGATGCAAATTCTCATCTTTTATCATCCTTGTAGGAGACACTAACCTTTTAATCAAACAAGATAGGCAGCCTAGTTTTGCCTGTACGCTATATAATTAGCTAAAGCAATCAAGGGTGCAGATTTCTGAGGACAAAATCCTTGAAGTATCTCTAGTGCATCATTCTTCAGTTTCTCTGCAAACTCCCTTGATTTGTCTATCCCCATCAACTTAGGGTAAGTGAACTTATCAGTAACCAAATCTTTGCCTGCAGTCTTCCCTAATTCTTTAGTGACATTGTTACATCAAGAACATCATCCACAACTTGAAACAATAGCCCAATGTTCCTTGCTAATTTCCTTAACTTGTCCACATCTTCATCACATCCACCTCCAAGAATCGCCCCTAAAACCACGGCTGCTTCAAGCAAAGCAGCGGTCTTGTGAACATGGATGAACTCCAAATGATCCAATCCCACATCGGTTAGCCCCTCACTTTTTATATCCACAATTTGACCGGCCACCAACCCTTCAGCGCCGATGGATTTAGCCAATTCCCCGATTGCTCTCACGGTTCTACCAGGCGTAACACCGACTGTGGCAACAGCTATGTGTTCAAAAGAGAATGCCAAAATAGCATCCCCTGCTAATACAGCTATATCTTCACCGAAGACCTTGTGATTTGTCGGTTTCCCTCTACGGAGATCGTCGTTGTCCATGCAAGGTAGATCGTCGTGGATTAGAGACGTGTGTATCATTTCCACGGCACAAGCCGCCGGCATAGCCATGGATTCTTGGCCGCCGACGAGGTCACAGGCGGCTAGACAAAGCACCGGACTGCCCTTTTGCTGCCGGCTAAAAGAGAGTAGCGCATTGCTTCATGGATTTTAACATGGTCGCGGAGTGAAACGGCCGAGTCCATGGCTTGGTTAACCGAGTTGGCTTTGTGAATCATGTATGATTTGAAATCGAAACTTGGAATTTGAGCGCCTGGTTCATTTTCCTTGACAGTGTCTTCTTCGGTAAGGACTGATTAAATCGAAGGAAGAGAAGTAAAGCAGAGTTTTTTGGGGGTTGAAGATGAAAGATTCTTCGAGGGATAGAAGGGAAAGGATATGGATACAGGAGAATACTTGGATATGGAAACTTGGTTGAAACTGCAGTGAAATTGAACCGACGAACCCAGATTCAGTGAAGCCATTGTTTTTCCTCTCCGGAGTGCTTGAAAGATTGGGTTTTTTCCTATTAAAAAAAGATTCAGCTAAAAATGAGAAATTTAATGCAATTTCCACTATTCAAATACAGAACTTCAATTCAGAGTTGACTATCATTTAATGAATCGGGGGAAGGAAAATGACAGGTGAAAGAAACACTACAACCAACAATGCTCTAATAAGGAACTGCGAAAATGAGTGCAATAAATATATAATATCTTTTTTGACGTAATTTAAAATATTATTTTTTTTAAATAATTTCCAGTTGAATGAAAAATATTATTATCTTATAATTTTTTATTTAACCACACAATATTTTCGATCAAATTAAAATTATAAAAAAATAACATTTTATTCTATTTTCAGCCAAAAATATTATATTTTTAACATATTTTAACCTCAATTTAAATCGTCGTACCTAAAATTACCTGAGAAATAAAGCTAAAAAGATTCTATGGAAATGGAAGTGGATTTTCATTTTTAATATCAGCCAATTAGCAGCCAACACGAGAAAACAGTATTCTGGAGTTGGGTGCTTGCGTTGTGGAGAAATGGTAGTTTTCTTGATAAATTATGTCATTCTTATTTCATTTTGGTCATTTAATTACTTTTTTTTCAAAACTATATTTAATATTTTATTTTGGGTTTCATTTTGATCTCTTATCATTAAAAAATTGACAATGGTATTGATATGTGATCATAAGATAATTTCACATCATCGTTGAAAAAAAATACCACATCATTTCTGTTAAACTTTAACGGTGGGTGATAAAATGAAATAAAAAATAACGGATATGATTTTAAAAAAATAATTAAATGACCTAAACAAAATAAAGTAAAAATTGGAGCATTAAACGTGTAGTTTACCCTTTTTCTTGAAAATACGTAATCCACTATATATTGGAACATATTAAAAATAAAAAAAAAAATATACATGGATCAGGGGACGCGTTTTCTTCTTTATTTTCATCAGACGTTTACGTGTTAACAACCGGAATGAAACATTTAATACTTAATAGTTAGGTCATATCATTCTTCAATCTTCAAAAATAAAATTCATTAATTTGATCCAAAGATACGGACCACAATAAGAGTTGAAGTCTGAATTTTGTTAAAGACGAAAAGGAAATTATAAAATATTAAGAGTTTAAAAGTTATAAATGTCATATTAAAACTTTAAATTAAATTGCATTTAAGAGTTTTTCTGCGTATTTAGTATTTAAATTATTAATTTTAATTCATTTTAAAACTTAAACTTTCAAATTAGTCAAATTAAGTATGTTCATATAGTCAAATTAGTAAAGTTGGCATACTTTTAAATTCATATACATATCAACCATCACTACACATGTTATATTTTTTATTGTATATATTTACTCATACTAAACATATTGCACTATCCTACCTTCTTCTCATAAACATTTATATAAAATATTCTTATTGAAATAGTAGAGATTTAAAAATTTTGCATCCAAAATAATTACAAGAAATCGTGACTTGATTCAATCATACACACATTTAATTATATTTCAAGCATCCCTTTAATAGCAATTTACGACATACACATCTAATTATATTTCAAACATCCCCTTATACGACAGCTAGTAACGTAATATTTTATAATCGAATAGAAAATTTAATGATCGTTTTAAAACGTCAAAATCTCCAATTCCAACTTGTATGTAGCTTCCAAGTAGATAATCTCTAAAGAAGGATATGAGCATTAAATTCCCTTCTTGCCCCCTTTCTTGACAACAACTATGATCCAATCTTCTTCATCTGATAGGGTCCAATTTCTTCATTTTGATGTTAGAGTTATGAACGAGGCTTGGTTTGTTTAACTTGTTTCTGGTTCTTTTATTATATAGGTTTTGTTTCTTCATCTATGTATTTGGATCATCTTTCTTTTTTAATTTCTACTCCCCATAATATCAAAAATACTTTCCAACATTTGACTACATAATTATTTTAGTCCATATTCTATATTTCTAGAGTATTTTAACCCCAACGTTTTATTTTAGAGCCCAAAAAAACCCCTACATTTAACTAAATAGTCCCTTTAACCTTTATTTTTTTTCTGGGAGCACGTTAACCCCAACATTTCATTTTAACTAAATATTCATTCATTGACTAACGGTTTCCATCCACTATGAGATCTTTTGACCTCAAAATGAAACGTTAAAGACCAAAATGCTCCAAAAATAAATATATAAGCCAAATCGACTATTTAATTAAACGTGAGAGGTATTTTGCCCGACTCATTCCGATGTAAATACTTCAACCTATCTTCTTCCGATCTTCTGCAACATCGAAGTCATCCCTAGTAAGCTCTCACAGTGCCATTCCTACCACTAAGAAATATCAACTTACAGAGGATCAAAACCCTCTAAGCAGTAGCCCTTTTCCAACGGCACTGTCAGATGTATCGTGTGTTCACTAAATATGTTTGGTTTCTTAGTGAAAACGTGTTCTGGGGTTGTGTATGTCAAGGTCTCTTCATGTAGTAATAAATAAGCCACGAGAAATGCATTTTCATGTTAAGACAACTTCCATTTATATACGACGACTTAGCTTCTCATCAGATGCAGAAAATCACAAATTATTCCATATATATCGGACATAATAAATTACCAAATGCAGATCATTCAGAATAACAAGTTGCGTATTCGTTTCCGATATAGAAAGAGAAAAGCAGAGAAAGAACAGAAAGGTCTTGCTCCAAAATACGTATCATGCACTTACAGGTTCAGTGGCTTTCTTCAGCCAATCCAGCTCATATTTGTCCATGTATGGTGCAAGAATTTCCCTGCATTTTGAATGGTAGGCATTCAACCATTCAACCTCCTCCGGTGTCAAGAGGCTAAGGTCGATCAACTTTATCTGATATGGTGCCTGAACATAAGATAAGCCATTAGAATCTAAAATGCAGCTGTCTTGAAAAAGCATATGCACAATGCGCAAACAAACACATAAGGACCGCTGTTGATAGGAGACGAACAATTTATTCCTAGTGACAAACTTACCCATGTGATATGCTCAAATGACAAGTATCCCTTATCACCAAAATTGAATTCGGTATCAGCCTCCTTGATTACGAGCACATTCTCTAATCTTATACCAAAGCTCCCGTCTTCATAATATCCAGGCTCTGGGAAATGGAATTTACAATTAGAATTAGTAAATGCTCCATCTCATCACCTTTTAGACCAACAATACACGTCACCACGTAGTTTTTTAACATTGAGAAACCGGAATTCTTTACTAGAACTTCATAATTATGGTAATATGCATATAAGAACCACAACCACAACAGATCGACCAAGGTTGCTTGTGAAAAAAACTCCAGCAAAAGATGACAGATTAGGTTTAATTAAATGCTTAGTGACAGAAAAGAATGAAAAGCTATAAGTAAACCAAAGCATAAAGATAACAAAGACGTGAAAGAAAATCAGTATAAGGAGGGACAAAAATAAAGCAGGACAAACGATCTAACCATCTGTTACTGTCATAGAAACTTGAAGTGGCACATTACGAGCCTGTTGTCTCATAGTAATTAGATGTGGTCCTGCTCCAAGTAATTCAATCGGGAAAAAAAAGTAAAATGAAACGTTTCAGTGAATTAATAGTAAACATAACTTCAGCAAGTGTGTGTAGCTAATTGCTAACCTTCATGAACGTAGAGGTAAGATCCAACTCCATGGCCAGTACCATGTCGATAATCAAGACCATACTTCCACAAAGGGATTCGAGCCAGAATATCAAGTGTAGGACCTATAGAAAGCAATCAGTCAATCAATTAACAATATATATTTGTGTCCATATATAAATTGCATATTGGAGTTTAGACAAATTTGTACACAACTTAAAGCAAAACTGCTCAAATAAAGAACAATTAAACAGATAGATAAAGAAAACTTTTAATACCATTTGTTCCACTAGGAAACCGAACATTTCCCAGAGCAATATGACCCTTGAGAACCTGCATGGAATCCAACTTCTTCAAAATGAACAGGAAATGAAATCTGTGTGAATCTAAGGAAAGAAGAGAAGTGGAACCCAAGCATATTTATCTACCTTTACATCAAGCAGTATCCAAAAAAAAGAAGCCTTAAGAGTCACAAGTTCCGACTCCAATATGCTTCAACTGCCTTAACCCAAACTAATAGGGTGTAAAATGATAACTGTAGAAAATCATCACTATTGATACCTCATTGGATTTATCACCACAAACATTTATGTTGTTCTGTTCGTACAGAAACATTACATTTTTATTAAATGTTATTTAAAGCTTAACATGAAATAGTCAAATAGAGATAAGACATCCAAATCAAACTATGTTTCCTATGACATCTCACAATCATTCATGAGACAACCCATCTCCCGACTCCCAGGTTAAAACCACAAAAATTCCTAGAGAAGGGTAAGCAGCTTGTATTATCAACCCATTAGGGGCTTTAGAAATATAAGTTCATCAGAATCTAAAATCGGGATAGTGCGATAAAAAGGAAGGTAAACAAAGATGCACAGTATGAAGATCCAGAAATACAATAGAAGCCACTTACAGAGGTATAACAAGTCTTTTCATGTGCTGAAGGCTTTCCAAAATGAACTGTCCGAGTTATATCAGTTGTTCCATCTAGATACTTCAATAATGCAATCGATAAGATCATTTACGTAATTAAGAACCGGAAATAAGAATCTAGAATAAGAAATAGTTAGCATTTATTCATACTTTTGGTTATTGATAGAAGCAAACCATTAGGATTTGATAGCATACCTGCGCTCCTGAATCAAATAGATAAATACTATCTGGATCAAGCTCAGCACATGTTTCAGCCTCAGGTACGTAATGGATTATAGCCGCATTTGGACCAACAGAAGAAATAGTAGGGAAACTTAGGCCTCTAAAGTTCTGCAATTAGTAACATAGAAATAGTTTCTGTGACATTAACATAGACAATTGAACGTATAATATTTTAGCAACAATATGGAAACAATTTTGTAACATAAACAAGTACAAATGGATGCAGAAACTGTTAGCAATAACTGGCACTAAGATGGTCACTTCACTCTAAATGTTTATAAGTTGTGACTCCTAGGAAATTCTTAACTTCACATGTTATGATGCTCAAGTTTACAAAACAAAGTTATTGCATTTTGATGATGGACACGCAAGAACAGAACTTATTATCATTGTTGTTGTTATACCCATAATGGAATTTTGAATAATTTTCCTCTTATCAGAACAAAACATTCTAAAAAATATTACCTCTTTTGATGCACGAAATCCCTCCAGCTTATCACTAACTGTCACCTCTGTCAATTTCACAATGTCTCTGCACGGTTCATTCAACAGAATGAAAAGCCATTTTCAATTGAAAAGAAGGGTAGCTTTTTTGGTTTCAGGCTAAAAAATCAGAGAATGAGCAGGTTAAAGAGAGAAAAGATATCAACTACAATTCTTTAACTTACGATCTCTTTTTGCCTGCTCCCTTCCCCTCCAAGAAGTAGCCAGAAGCCCCATAAATCTCTTGCATCTGAACATTTAAATGATCAATATCATCATTTGCTGCCTAACAACAGCCTAAAATTTTGTTGCATATGTTGAGAAATAGTATACTTTGAAAGAAAGGTCAAATCTAAAACAGATTTGGGTAGAATCATAAACAATGAAATAGAATATTTATCAATTCTCAAGAGAATATAATATATGAAGGTCAGAGTCCTATACCTGCTTATCTAACCAGACAAGATACTGCACAACAGCTGCACCATCCCGGATATGTGCATTCTTTAATCCATCCAACTCAACTGGATTCTGAAATACATAACCATTCAATACCTAAGGTGTTCTAACTTTCAAATAAATTATTTTCAGAATATCAAACGAGATGTCAAATAAACATATTTTATACACTCTAAAGACTCAACCAGATAGAAAATGCATCGACAACCTTTAAGGCTTTAGCAAGGGCCAAAGGTGATTGCTGCAGGAGCACCTTCTTAGCATTTAGTTTCGAAAATATAGCATAGCAGCATGAAGCAGGATCAACCCACGTAAGGTCATTAGAGTTCTCTTCTGCTTCACATTTTTCATTTTCACAAACACCATTTTGACCAGATCCTAATCCTGTGTCCTTATCAAGCTGATTAGATGCTAGCAATGCAACATCTGAGCTCACTTCACCATACTCCCTAACTTCAATTCCGTTCTCTTGCATGGAGGAGCTTACCTGCATTAACACATATGTAATTAATAAACCTTATGTCCTATCTTCATATATGTACAGGGATATAATAACTAGAAAAATACTGAAAATACCAACAAATGAATAAAAATGGTAACTCCAAAAATATATGAAATCCTACCTAGAGGAAAATTTCCTTGTCCACATAAAAGAAAGCTGAGCAGGAAGTTACAATATCATTTTGGAAACTCAAACAAAAAAAATAGACATCGTACCTTAGAGGAAACTTTCCTTTTGTCCACATAAAACAAAGCCGACTTTGATGTTACAATAGCAAATGCATGAACAACTGGACAATAAGAGACATCGCTCCCACGGATATTGTACAACCAAGCAACCTGCAAAGTGGCTATTTTAACTACAAAACACATTGGTCAACGGACCCAATCCGGCCAACAATTTGACAAATCATACCTCATCTAAAGCTGTGATGATAAGTCCACGAGCCTTTTCATTAGCGAGCTTTTCCCTCGAGTCTTTCAACTTTTCAGCAACAGAGCGGCCGGCAAATTCCAAGGGATGAACAATAACTGGATTAATTTCAGCGGGTGGCCGGTTTTTCCACACCTCATCAACCAAATTGCTAGAGGTTTGGACTAATTTCTGCTGTTTTTTCTCAAAAGCTCGTTCCCATCTGTGAGCTGTATCCACTGATACACACCAAGGATCAACCCCAATAGCTGCCTCCTCCGGCAAATTCTATGTTACATAATTACTTTAAACAATCAGTAAGAAAATCAAAATTTGGAGCACGGAATTGAAATTTCGGGAGGCAGAATGGTAATTTTACATCAGACATCCAAGCATCAACCGGAGGATCTTCTCCCATACGCATCAGTTTCCAATCATCACTAAGTTGCTGCATCGCTTGCGAGAAATATCGACCGTCCGTCCATAGCCTTGCTTTAGTTTTTGTAATAAGTGCCAAACCTGAAACATATTTTTCCAAAATCAATATAATTTGTAAAAATAATAATAGTCTCAATATGAAAAAAAAGTAATAATAAAGACCTGCACTTCCGGTGAACCCAGAAACGAACTCGCGCCTTTTATCCCGATCAGACACGTATTCGCTCTGCAAAATTTAATTAAAAAAAAAAGATAAGTTGAAATGACAATTGCTGTATAAAAGGAAAATGTTGTTTTTTACTTGATGATAATCTTCAGAAGGGACGATTAAGGCATCGAGAGGAGGAGAGTGAGAGGTCATTAAAGACCTCAACGAAGCAAGTATTTCCGCCATCAGGGACCGAGCGAGAATCGGTCTTTTTCTGTTGAAAATCTTCGAAAAGTTTCGAGAATCCAAGAATGATTTCAGGAGTTGGGAGTCTCGTTGGGCACTGTGTTAGCAGAGAGATAAGGAAGCCTTTATTTGACTTGATTGTATTTATTCGTTTTTTATTACGTTGATATTAATTGCATATCAACTCACTCAACTTTACTTTTGCTTCTATTCCACTTATAATACTTTCAATTTTTTAATTTAATTAAATTTATATATTTGATTTTTTTAATTCACTCACTGTTATCTCATTAACGGTGTGATTACGTCACTTATTTCATTAATATATTTTTTCACTGCCCTTTTAATGTTGATCCTCTTTATTTTTAATCTCATCAACCACCATTTGATAAGAACCTATCATATTCAAACCAACAAAACCCACCGTTATGCTTCCTCCTAAACTAGTTTTTCATAGTTAGAGGAACGTAAAGATAAATATGAAAAAATAGCTTATCTTTATTTGTAACAACCCAATTTTTCCCCAAATAAAAACCCTAGAAATTGGAGATTTTCATTAAAACTCTAAAATTTGGAAAATTTTAACCTAGATTCCTAATTCGAATTTAATGATATCAAAGCTTCGTTCAACTCTCAGATTGTGAAGCTCGATCATAAATGTTTTAACAAAAAAATAATGATTTTTGTCTATATAAAATATTTTTGATTTAAAAGGATAAATTTTTGAAATACAATTATTATTATTACTTCTTAATTGCAAATATTTTATAATTCATAGATTCCAATTATCAATTGTAATATTAGACGTTGGTTTTGTAGATAGTTCTTATGGCACCACGTAAGAGTTCTCGTTTAGCAAACCAACGAGTTCATACCACTCAAGCTATGACTGATCCTCCTTCTACTATGGGTCAGACCCAAAATCCAAACAGAGTTGATGAGACCGAGATTGCAGAACAAACTGAAAATTAGACGGAAGTTCATCATGTTGAAAATGAAAACCCACTCGCACCCTAGACTCAAAGTGATGGATCATGGGAATCCGAGAACGATGAGACTGTTGAGTTAGATAATGCTACGGTGAATCGGGAACTACTTGGTTACCTCCGTCAAACTGAGAGTGTCAAGAAACTCATATCGACTGAGTTTTTAGCTGTTGGGAAGACTGTGTTCGAGAGTAAGACTGGGATTGATCTTGCTGATGATGAGTATTGGTTGAAGAAACTACAATGACTGTTTGAGAAAATGGATTATTTGACTGATCGTATATTGAGGGTTGTTGTATCATTGTTAGATGCTGAAGCCAATAACCGGTGGGAATATGAGTAGAATACTATTCCACCCAAACAAGTCACTTGGGAACATTTTCGTTAGGCTTTTCAGGATCGCTATGTAGGGGCTAAGTATCTGGCTAAGTATTAGGAGGATTTTATAAATCTAAAGTAGAATGATATGTCAATAACAGACTATGAGATTGATTTTATGAGGTTGGTCAAGTATGTTTCATGGTTGGCTTTGAATGAGAAGGAGAAATGTGATTGGTTCCTAAAGGTCTTCACCCTTCGATTTGTTTAACGGTTGCCTTACACCATGACTCAGTGTTGAATACTCTAACTGCTCAGGCTAGAACTACTGAGAAGAGTGAGATGTTATCGGTATGTCCCAAACCCCATATCAATTACAGGAACCGGAGACAATCTGGACCATCTACACATACGGGTTATGTGAATCAGTTCGGCAAAAGATCAAAGGATGATGTGAGCTCTCAAGGTTGTTTTAGAGCAATACTAGTGTCATCTGTTGCTCCGAATTTAGTGTTGGCGGTTTGAATGATGGTTATAAGATATTGTTGTGCTTTTACTGTAACATGAGGCATCTTGGATAGTGTTGGAGGAGAACTTGAGCATGTCTTCGTTGTGGGTCTTTAGAGCATCGTTTCAAGGAGTGTTCTCTTCCGGGTTCTGGTTCATATGATCCTAATCAGTTTCAGGCATAAGTTCAGGCATCGACCCAAGTTAAGGATCAAAGTAGACCGACTAGTTCTGGTTATGGTTCAGCTAGTAGAGGTAGATCGGCTCAGAGTAGGGGTTCAGATAAGTCTGCAGTGAGACAGTCTGGGTTGGTATATATTACTCGAAGGTATGAGGATCGAGATAAGTCAGACGATATTGAAAGTATTTTCTTAAGTCATTCCATTTTTATGTTGGTAAATTTCGAGGACGAAATTTTCGTTAAGAATTCGATTTTTCCCAAATCTAAAACCTTAGAAATTGGAGATTTTTCATTAAAACCCTAAAATTTAGGAAATTTTAACCTAAATTCATAATTCGAATTTAGTGGCTAAATTGTAAATTTGAAAACTTTATAGCCATTTTCGTGAACCTAAGGAAGTTCAATGGCTTGCTTTGTAATTTTCCTCTTATAATATACACTAGTTTTGTGGTTTAGAATGTATTCTAAAATTAAATGATTATTTTAGAGTTTAAAATTCAAAATTTATTTTGTGAGGGACAAGTTTTAATGTGACTTTCGAGATTCGACCTAATTTTTTTTGGAACGGATTTAGGGGTTACATTGTTCTTCCTCCATGTAGACAAGGATTGTTTATGATCGAAAATTCAGACTCCATCAACGCCCTTAACATGGGTTGAAAGAATAAGAAATTAGTGTAAAATGAGCTTTAACAACGTTGCAAGTCACATAAAGAACATTTAACCTCATATCCACGAAACCCGACATCCTGTCTCCATTATTGTTCCATCATACGCCACATTTTTCTCTTCAATGTTTTCAACTATTGGTAGAAACCCCAAATAAAGATATTTAAAAGTTAAAAATGGAATTAAGGGTTACTTTCTTATATTTATGGTAACATCAAGTTGGTAGAAGCATTGGTGTTTATCATAAAGGGTTGATCGAGTTCCTTTCTTAAGGTCATGTTTTCATCCAAATTTTTTACTTTTTTTTCATTTTCCCCTGTAATTGTGGGGTATGGTTATGGGCCTATGACCATTATGCTTGTATACAAAGCATTTTAATGGAGGAATTTATCATCTTCATTTATGTTTTGTGTTTTACAATGATGGAGAATAATCTAATTGTAGTTAATACAATGAAGAATTCACACAGTTTCATTCTAATATGTAGGAAGAGTAGCCAAATTTAAAGTCTTAGAGACAAAATATTGAGCCAAACAATATATTCATTCAATATTCTAGCTTGAGTTGTCCCAATTATTGTCCTAAATATCTTTTTATTCATTACATACTGTGGTGAAAAGGGCGGCCGACGTGATGATTGACGTGGTGGCCGGCATGGTGGTCGGAATATATTTATTCATTACATACTGTGGTGAAAAGGGCGGCCGACGTGATGATTGACGTGGTGGCCGGCATGGTGGTCGGAATATGGGTTTATTGAGATTTGAAGAGGGAAATAAAGAGAGAAGATGAAGAAGAAGAACAACAAAGAAGGAAAAGAGATGAAAATGAAAGGGAAAAAATAAAAAAAATTTAGACCAAAACTACGTTGTTTTGATGTTGATTGTCACGTCATAACGCCTTTAAAAGTTAACGGTTGAGTGATCAGAAATCTAATATATAAAATTTAATGATTAAATTGAAAATATTAAAAGTATGGTGAGTGAAATAGAAGAGAATACAGTTTAGTAAGTAAGTGTGTAATTTACCCTTTTTAAAATATATTAATGTTTCTGCTTGCTCTTTATGTTTAGGAATGTTCAAAATATACAATTTGGGTTTTAATTTGATTTAAATCATATTTTTTATGAGGGAAGCGTATTTGATCCATCAATTAAACTGTTCATCTTTTTATAATTTATTAAGAAACTTATATTTTTATAATTTTGTATTGAGATAATTTTATAAGGGAAAGAGACTGATTGAAATAAGTTGTGTTTAAAATTATTTTTATTTAACTGTATTAAAATAATTATTATAATATTTTATGTATATTTAAAATAATTATTATAAAATATGTATAAATATATATTTTTTATTAACTTTCTATTCTATCAAATAAAAATAAAAAAGTAATATTTATATTAAGATAAAATTGATTTTTACTCAAAATTCAAAGGGGCTAAAACTAGATCAGAAGTTTATATTTTTTGAGCTGAACGGCCAAAGAATCAACTTTCCTCATCCCTATTTATATCGTATTCTATCAAATACTTTGTAATTTATATTGTCACTCTGTCAGTTTACAATTAATAAGATTTTTTTAATTAAGAAGAATGATAAATTCTATTAAATAAATAAAACATTTATAATAAAATTTCAGTCGTGAAAAAGAAAATATTGTGCAAATTAAAAATAATTGTTAATCAGGATTGATATAAAATAAAATGTTAATATTAACTGGACAATTAACATGAAAAAAATTAAAATAAAATTTAATTACATCGTGACATAAATTATTAATTTAGAAACAAAAAATACATACGTGATGACTGGTTTTTTTTAATGCTAACATTATCGTAACTGACAATTTCAGCCGCATCCGATGAGTTCTGATCTGATTCGATCGGATCGATTTCTTTTTTAAAAATTTAATTTTAGTCAAGTTAGATGAATGTAGATCTCTCTAATGTTTTGGATGCAAAATTTAGTTAAATGTAAAGAAAATCCAACTAAAACATATATTGCTCTATCATAAACAAATCTTAAAGAGTGATTAAACGTAAAAAGAAAATAAACCGAAAAGATAAGATGAAAAGAGAATGTGACTTCCAATCTCGGATCTAACCTTCCAACCTCGTGGTTAGATCCGATCCGAGGAAAGTCATTGCAGGATACTGAGAAGAGGATCCAAATTACGATGACATAATATTGATTTTAAAAAATATAATGATACAATTGTTATACGTTGTGATTTCAATTTAATATCATACCATGAAGTCTACATCTGCCCTCAAATTGTACATTCAAACATTATTGAGTAGATGAACAGTGGGGGTTACGGTGAGTGAAGGATAAGTCCGGTCAACAAATGCGAAATTTTTGTTGGAGAAAAATCCATATTTGTGGGTTATTATGTTTTATGTTGTTATGGATTCAATTTATG